AACTAATTAATAGTATTAGAGGTGTATATACATGTCATAGTGTTTTAATGAAATCAGGGCATATAAGCCAATTTTCAACTTTCAATTTATTTACGCATGTTTTTTTTGAGATATATTTTAGCTTGCTTTTTCTTTAATATACTCTTTGAATTTCTAATTGTGCCTTAAATATTCAAATTCTTAAAAATTTTTACACGATAAATAAAAAAGTTATGACGTATCAGCTGATTACGAGGGAATTTGTCTATGTTATTAGGTCACATAACATAATATGAAAGATCCCAAATATTCATATAAAATAAATATAAAAAAAATTTCTATCATAAAAGAAATAATCCGAAGTAACAAATATTCGCTTTAAAATGAAATGTGAGAAGATATTCAAAATTATTCATTACATTTCTTGGAGGAAGGATTTGATTTATTAAAATTTGAAAGTAAATATAATATGTTTGAAAAAAAAATTCCGGTATATGATTAGATCCCTGCAATGGACTTTTCTTAGGTTCTACCCGATTCGGGAAAGATTTAAAAATATTTTTTACCCGACCGATCCAAACCGATATATTTTTTAATTAGAATATTGAAAAATATTCGCGGAAGGATAATAAACAATTTCATGAAAACAAATTTGGAAATTTGTCAAGGCAGTCTTTTCCGGTCCGATATAAATTCTAGAATTAAAGTTCGAATCAGATCGAACCCGAGAAAATGTCTGTCGGATCCAATTCAGGCTCAAATAGGTCCCTGCGCGGATCGCAGTAGCCTCTTTATCTTGACATCCTTTAATCCAGACGGTTTATTTTTACTTCTCTCTACAAAAGATTTTAATCAATAGTTTCACACACTTTCATTAATCTTATTTTTTTTTTAAATGCATATCACTTTATACAGGTTACACCCTATATAAAGATAACAATCATGTGCCACCCGAGAAATCATTTTTAGAAAATTTTCCTATCGACGTCCATGTCCGGTTTGAATAAAAAAAATATTCAATTTGGTCTGGCTCAGCCAATAATGCATATTATATTAACGATTCGTTAATTAAAAGTATATACATAGGAGTCGGCTGTAGTATTGTTAAACGGCACGTTTTGAGCCGATTTTTTAAAACTGCTAACTCAAATTTTAGCCAGAAAAATATAGTTTAAGCCTCGAGATTTCGATAATATAAGTCTACACCTTTGTTCCTTCTATGAGCAAAATCTTCAGGCTTGCGTAATATTTTTCTGGATGAAATATTGAGTTAGCTGTTTTTAAATAGGCTCAAAACGAGACATTTATCAACACTAGTCAGCTGTAGCACTATTTTGGCTTGCACGCCCATTAATTGTCTTATTTTTATTATATGAATGCACATTGATGTCATTTAATCAACGTGCAAACCACAAAATGACGATACAAAGCTAGTTGGACACTTTTAAATGCATTTGAATGAATCCCCAATTTAGTAGTATATATTATATACATCATTGGATGCAAACTAGTCAGAAGCAGAAATCGGTCGGGGTCGGACAGATCCTTACAGGGCTATAGTAGTGGTAGAAGTTAATTGCAAACTATTGATTTTTAATAAGAAAAATATTTTTTTTGATTATCTAAAGCAGGTGCCATTTTATTGTGGTATTTAAAAAAAACAAAACTAAAATTATCATACTATATATTTTTTTAAAACAATAAAATTTTTTTGTATGTTGTGATTGAGCCTCAATAATTTTTTAATCTTTTATATTTTTCTTTCATTTCGATTTTTTGTTAAAATTTTCTGAATTAAATGATATTAAGGATTTTAATCTACCTTATAACAACAACAAAAATGGATATTCGTTTTTAAAAAGTAAATGGATATCCTTTTTAAAAAAATAGATAGATATCCGCTATAAAAAAATAAATGGATATCCGTTTTAAAAAAAGTTATATTTTGGAAAGAGAAATCCTACTACTGTTGTGTTTATGTATCCAAAATTATATTATTAGAATTACGCTTTTTTTGGACACCATATTGATGATGTATGACCGGGTCCGTCGTCACTTTTATTTTCATAGTTATAGAGTTGGATTAACGGAAGTTCTGAAATGTAGATAAGCATTCGTTTTTTTTTCTCTTAAAATATTTAATTTTTAATATCTTGCACACTCCTAATTAAATCGAACCTAGTCCGAAAAAGGGAATCTTCTAGAAATTATCTTACAGATATTTTAAAATCGTTATTATAAAAAAGCCTGTAGTTACTTTGACAGCTGACTTGGTATTTCTGCAAAGTTTTGTTATCTTTCCTCTTACAATGGTTTAAATTACAAACTTTTATCTTTGAACTATCGGTCAGCCTTAGCTCTGCTTTTATAATTCTTAATCGTTAATCATTTGGGTTTGTGCCGATGGTTTTCTCTACGCCCTTATAATTAAAAAAATATATATAAACTATTTTATAAATGATTACAGAGTAATTTATATATATTATAAATTTTAAATACCTATTATTTTAAAATGTGTAAACCATTCGAAATTAATACGGCTAGTAAAGCAGACGATAAAAAAAATTTTTTATAATTAAAGCGTTCTAAATGACATATTTTTTTTTGGAAATGATATTTTGCAACTTTCTATTTTTTGTTTGCTATTCTTTTGATATACGCCCGAAAACTACAATTCTATGGTATGTCATTAGCATATTAAATTCACAGTTACCGCAAATTAAATTCATATATTTTGTTGCGAATTTGCTCTAACTGTAATTGCAGGAGGGTGACACAATGATAGATATGAATATATTAACTAATTCCTTCCTTTATTTTTATATTGAACTTCATTTTCTTCGCATTTCCTAACTTATATATCTCTTAGATTTAGGATAGTTATAATAATCAATTATCTATCTTTTTCTTTTTCTCTCCCTTAATAACTAGTTGGTATATAGAATAGTAGTTTATCTTCTGATTTATAATTGACAATGACAATGATTATACAAAATCAAATTATTAAAATTACTTTAACTTCTTTTGCATTAAATTTTAAGTGCATTTCTATATTGGCGAAATTCAAATTTTTACGAATAATAAACATGCAAACCTTTACGACTCATTTATGGCATGGGCGATTTACTCAATCGATGGGAAATTATTCTCTGCATAATTTAATAAAACAAGCAGCGCGAAATGATGAAAACGCGACAGCTGTTTACGTATATATCAAAAAGGTATTTTTGACGAATCGGCCATGATTTCGCTAGCGATTAATTTCCCATCGCTTAGACAATTCGCGCATACCACGTTCACAGTTTAACCCTTTATTACAGTCGGTTGAAATTTGTCCCACCTAAAAAAGGACCTTTAATACATGGTGGGACATATTTAACCCGACTTTATTTTTTTCTTTTATTTAATACACAGATGGTATGAATTTATCCCATTTAAAAAATTATATTATTTACGTGATACGTGATAGCGCATTCGCCCTCTAACGTTGAATATACAACAGAGCAACGCTAGGTTTTCCTCATTTCCATCTAATTGAAATTTATTAATTTAAGGGGCAAAAAAAATATGAGGAGCCCTCCACACGTTTGTGGGCAAGCCGCACGTACTTGTACGCACAACATTTCTGAGAAATGTTATTAAAACGTCTATAGGCTTAGAGGAAAAGAGCGGGACCAAAAAATAGCCTACACCCAAGAACTGCTTTTAAAATTAATTATTTTAAAGGTGGGAGGTGGATAATTTAACTTAAAAAGCTTTACTGTAAGTTTATTTATTTTAGAGGTAAAAAAGAAAAATACTTTCAAGAGGAATAAATTATGTTTATTTAAATATTTTCGCGCGCAAAAAGTTTCGTATTTTATCAATCCCGCCTTTTTATTTTATTTTATGCAAAATATTTTTTATAAAATTTTTAAATCTACTTTATGCAAAATTCTGGTACATTTGATAAATAAAAAATGATAAGAAACATTTATATATTCTATATATTTATCATAAATATCAATATTTTTAAAAATGATCATTTATTTTTTTGGCAGTTACAAAAAATGTAACCGGTCATTTTATGTCCCACTGTGCAATAATGCTTATTTTACATTTATATTTTAAAAATATTATATTTTTATAAAATTTTTCAAAAATATTATATTTTTATAAAATTTTTCAAAAATATTATATTTTTCAAAAATATTATATATTTCTATAAAATTTTTCAAAAAAATTTTATCGTCTGATATATGTTCAACTGATTCGGATTCTTCTTTTGAAATATACTCAAAGGAAGTCGAGGACAACCTAATTGAATTAAATTGAAGGGCAATTACAATACCCCTACTAAGTTTTATATCATTACGGCTCTGGTGATTATATAAGAGGTCTCTATTTCGATTAAAAATGATCTAAAATCTGCTATCTCAAAAGATTCTTGACTCGGGTGTATCATCCTTGCGCAATTTAATATCGACTCCTTAAAAATTTCATAAAAAATATGTCGCTGATGATACAAGGAAAAAGTGATCGGATCATATTTCTATAAAAATTCTTGCTAGTGATTCTGAATCCCTTGGGAAAATATATAAGGACATCCTGGGAATGTTCTATTTGTAAAGTTTCGCTATGCATTAACGCTAAAAGAAATTGATTTTTCTTTTTTTAACAAAAAATAATGTATATAATACACAGTGGGAAAAATATATCCCTCCCCCAGTTATAAATTATTTTGTAATTTTTGTATTTTATATTATAAAATTTCAATAAATATCAAAAAATAACATTTTAAACAATTTCAGTGATTATTTTAAGTTTTTATAGGTGAGTGATTGAGGATTTTTTTTAATGTTGAAATGTAGCAATAAAGGCTTAAAACGAGAGAATGTTAAGTTGTTATAAAAAAAAATTGCCATTTTTTAAACTTATTTTAAGGTCCATTGATCCAGCCCCTTTAAATCCCGAATTTTGATATTTATAAGGTTTATATTTTCATTGCATTGAAAAGTTATTTTTTAAAAATAAAAATTTAGATAGATTTGGAACCATGCGGGAAATTACACGTCAGTATCGAGTTAAAGGGCTCAACATGTGAAGGTAAAAAAAAAAAATTTTCGTTTTTATTCTTAAAATCTGAGACTTTGCATGGAACCTTCCAGAGTCGGTTTAGACCGGTTCAGAAATAATTTTGGCGGTTTAAGGGATGAATAAAGAAATCGGAATATATTTACAGGCCAGCCTGGACTTTTGCAATATCGTCGGACTTTTTTGCAAAATGCTTCTTTTGAATCATTTATTTGCGTTATTTCATCGTGATTTTCTATTTTTAAAATACACCAAATTCTTTTTTTTAAAAAAAAAATTATCTCCTGAACACTTTTAAAAAATGGATATAGAAAACTATAATACTCAGCTGGAGATATGTCCAAAAATGATTTACTTTTGTAAGCTCCTGATTAGACAATTAAGCCCCAATACATTATTGATTATGAAAAGTAAATCTGGATTTAGCTTAATATTTAAAAACGGAATGATTAATGATCTTTTATTTTTTAAAGATTTGGATTAAAATTTCGATTTTTATCACATATAAAATGACACATTACTTAATACTTAAAAATATAGCCGTAGGAACATGCTCAAGTTTTGATCCGTTTAGGAATCTTAAGAATCCTTTTGAATATGATAGAATTCATATAACATTTATAAAAAAAACCGTTAAAAAATTTTAAATCCTTTTAAGAAACGACGGAATTGTTCCAAGGACATTTCTTTTTCTTATTTCGTTTCTTTTTTAAGTGTACTAAAATTTACTTTCCGGGTCAGGTTTCTCAAAATAAAATACATTTGCAATGCATCTTACAATTAGTTTGGGGTATCTATGCTACTCTTGTTAAAAAATTCGATTTGGGTCGATTTTTAAAAACGGCTAGATTCCGATTTTATCCAAAATAATATTATGTAAGCCTCAAGATTTGGCAAGTATAAGTCTCCCGGCTTGCACAATATTATTTTAGTTATAATCTTAATCGGGCCGTTTTTAGAAATCGACCCGAATCCGGCCTTTTAGCAACACTAACTATACGTTCTATGCGAAAGGCAACTTAGCCCTGATCCTAACATCAATATTTCGCCAAATGTCACACACCCAAAACATCGAATTATATAAAAATATTACTATTTCGTTATCGATTTTGATACTCAATATTTACCATATATTTTTTATTTTTAAGAATCATATTTATTTTACCCGATTAAACAGTCAAGGAAAGAGTCTTCAAGGAAAAGCAGGAAGGGTTCAAAAACAAAAGGAGGGGTGCCATGCGGAGGAAAGTTCATCAAATAAACGGACACAAATTTATGGCCACGATTTTGCGCCAACCCACCTTTTGTTCACACTGCAAAGAATTCATATGGTTAATAATATTTACTAAATGTTACATATCCAATTAATAAAAGGAAGGAAGGAGATAGGAGAGAGGGAGGGGGGAAAGAAAGAGGAAGGAAATTTTTTTTTTCTTGAAGAGCCAACTTCAACCATGCATGTTCAATAACTTAAATTTTTTCCAATTATTTACGTAAACTAAATATTTATAAGCTAATAGTTTATATAATAGAGGTCTGCAGATAGCAAAATATTTCATGGGTGGGATTTGTTTTCGCCTCGGCTCAGACAAATCCGCACCCAGCCCATCTCGGTTTCAATTTTTTGCTAAGGTTACCTGGCCTGGTCCGGTTTTTTAAAATCCAGAAATATATCCTATGAAAAAGATAACGAATAATGATGAATATTTAGGTTTATTGATTTTCTTATTAATGCAATAAACAAAAATGTAGGAAAAGGACGATAATATTTATGAATGAATGATCATAATAAATCACTAAAATTATAAGAAAGATAAAATATTTTTATTTAACAAAGTTAGGCTTTAAATAATTTTTTCATCTATTCTCTATTAAGCGCACGAGCATCTACTTTTTTAGCGGCTCGGGCAGTTATTTTTTGCCCCGCTCCGCCCGACCCAATTAAATTATTTTCAGCATTACCCGGGCCAGCACGGCCCATGAACCTAGTACCGGGTTAAACATTGCAGATCTCTAGTTCATATCGAACAATTACATGAAATTTAATTGTTTTTAAATATAAAATATTTAAAAAATATAGACATTTATTGTGTTTTATAAGTCTTATTATCATACATATTCTTCTTTTTTTTTAAATATAATCCATCTTCCTCCAATAAAGCTTTAAAATAATTTTTTTATGGAAGATATCCATCTCTTCTCTTCTCTTAATATAAAATAAAGATTTTTTTTAAAAAAAAATTATTATCTAGGGGTTTGGGCAAACAAGGATACCAATGTCAAGGTTAAATACTTAATAGTTATGCAAATATGGTTACATAATTTTGATTTTACTTGTGCCTAAAACATTTTAGAAAACAGTGACACTTTTTATGAGATAAATTTAAAATTTCAAATGAAATAATTTTTTATTTTACACTGAAAACATTTACTCATTTTTATTTAATTAAATTAGATCCAGTTTATTAGATGATGTGAAGTAAAAGAGATTAAAAATTAAACATCAAAACCATAAGCCGAGTTATGAGGAAAAATTTCCTTACCCTGCATTTATAGTTAGCACGAATTAGCTGCGAAGTATATAAAAGTAAACGAAAATACAGCATATTTTGTAAACTTTTCTACGAATTCGTGCTATCTGTGAATGCCGAATAACCCCTCATTCACAGTTAGCTCGTATTCACAGCGGAGTATACAAAAATACAGCGTATTTTTATAATTCGCAGCTAATTTGCACTTATTATGAATGAGGAGTTGATATTTTATTCAAAAAATTAACTCTATTTTTTCAGTGTGTACGTGCGTTGTTCACAAAAGATGTCATCACCAGGTGTTAACTAAGTGTCCAGGTTTGTTGTTTTACGACAGGACTAAAGATGAAGATATTATAGAGGAGGAAGACGAGAACGAAGAGGAGGATCAAACAAACATAAAGAAACCGTCTTCCAACAGAAAGAGGCATATTTTATTTATTATTTATATATATTCAATGAAAGTCATGGAACATCAGAGATCCCAGGATAGGAGGAATCCCCTGCTCCGAAGAGTGAGCGAATGCTACCCCTAAGAATTAAACTGATAAAAAAACCATAGATTTCAACAATTAAAAAAAAACATTAAAATAATTGCCATTTTGAAAATAGTAATAAAAAGTCTATGTTTATAAATAATTTTAACTAGTATTGTTAAAAGTTACTTTTGAACCGCAACTAGTTTTAGTTACTAGTTTACATTTGTAAGAATATAACTAGTTACAGTTATATATCAAGTCTTATTTTGTAGATATTAACTTTTTCCAATAATCTTATTAACCATTTCTGACATTATTACACCAGTGACGAAGCGTCCATAGAAGCATATGAGGCATTGATTCCCTTGAAATTTTTCTTACAAAATTCTTAAAATAAACTTAATAAAATTTTATATTATATTTAAAAAAATAATCTAACTTTTAAAAAATATAGACATTTTCTCCCCATCAAGTAATAATTACGATCCATTAGGTAAAGCGGAAAAAGGGAAATCCCCTAAATATTCACATTTAACCCACAACAATGTATTTATACCCATTGTGGTTTCAATAAACTACTCATTTGGGAAGAGACCAAATCCTTAATCAAACTAATTAGCCGAAAGAGCCATAAAACAACAATATCAATGGCCCTTTTGATTAAGCAAAATATCAGCTTTGAAATATTACGTTACAATTTTAAATTATTTAAAGATTTATGGCCGTCACCAGAAGAGGATGACTATTTTTAACATAATTTTTTTTTCCTTTTCTAAAAATGTTGTTTACATGTTATTCTAATTATTTTATATAATTTTGATTATTAAATATATAAAAAGGAAGATATCTTAAAAAAAATTTATGCACTTCCCCAGTAATTTTACATTTTACTTGTATTTTATATCTCTTCTACCCAACCACGTTAATTTTTTTAAGGTTATATGTTTTCACTACTGCAATAAGGTGGAATTCTTAGTTGACGCAATCTACAGCTGTTATAGTTTTAATTCTTTAATTCTATTGATAATAATCTAAGATTTATTAATGTAATAAAGAATTATTTATCTCACTAAATTTTATTTATAAACTTAAACAACTTTTAAATCTTGTCGCATAGCTTTAACTGCTTTTTATGGTTAAAACAGTGCGTAATTTATGATTAACTATAGCATAGCTGATTTTGTAAGCGATGCGTTGGCTCGCTAATTTTGCGGTACGAAGCCAAAATAAAGGATTTTTTTTTAGATTTTATATGAACATATTTTAAAGCTCAATTTTTTGTTGAATGACAGATTTTCACGTAGAGTTCATTCCAAAAGGCTCAATTTTCCGACCAACGAAGACGGCTCTCAAGTCAGACTAGGGCCGGACGATGCCGCTCTTAACTTGACATCCGGCACCCGCTTCAATATCAATATACCCCACCGTTTTTTGCTTCACAATTATAAGAGGCCTACTTTTTGCGATCATTGTGGCAGTCTACTGTACGGCATAATCAAGCAAGGCCTGCAATGCGAAGGTTTTTATTTTCTCTGAGGATTATTGAAGCTCTAATTAGGTAATTACTCCACGATCCTAACATGATCCCGTTTTGCTTTTAAGATCTAAATTCAACCTACCACATTTTTTGGATTGTGGAGCTGTTTGAACCGGATTGGCTGACTTTCATAATTGATGATTTTAATTATAAAGTACATTATGATTACGTTAAATGGAGGGTGGGAAGAGGACTAGTAACAATACATGATGGATACATTTTTTAAAATTAGAGTGTGGAATTAGAAATAAAAAATTATAGAATTAATTTATGAAAACTTGGGCGGATCAAAAAAAGAAATAACTTTAATATACAAATAAATATTTAGCCGGTCGGAATTTTTTTTAAGATATAATATTCGATTTGAATCCGTCGATTATTTATTTTCCGCTTCTAGACGCATGAACGATTTACGATAACATTTCCGTTTTAAACCATTATAAAATGGTGTTTAAGACATTTTAAATACACGCAATTATATTAATAGAAATTTAGTAGTAGTTGTTGTGAACCAGTTATTCCCTCTCAATGTTGAGCAGTCATTAATTACAGTGTAATTAATTCCATGATTACCCACTTCAAATAAGAAGTTAGTAATTTTAATTAGCTACATTTTTTTAAGGCCTGTAATTAGGAATTAGAAGTTTAATTCATAATTACATTTATAATTCCTTTTCTTATTATTTTTATGAAAAACGCTTAATAATTGCAATCATTCATTCATATTTTTTATATTTAAATAACTTTAATTGCAATATTTCATTCATTTTTTTTGGCGGAAACATAATGAGTTATTCTGAATCTTTAACTTTTACCTTGAACTCTGATGATAACTTTGATAATTGCCTTACATCCAATAGAGCGTAATTGCCAATATTCAATCCAAATTTTTTTTAAAAGTAACTGATAAAAATGATAAAACTACAAGCCTTGTTTATGCATCCTGTGATCAAATCGTAAAGAACCACAATCAGACCATCAGTAATTTCCGAAAATATATGAAGATATATTTAAATATTAACTTTTTGTTCCTAATTTTATTACTTCGGAGAAAACATTCTTCTAAAAGCAAATATTCAACAAACTTTACTAGAATATTTTTTAAAAATCATCGAAATTAGTTAACCAGTGGCTATGATTTAATTGTAAATTTTGTTATAATAAATCTATGGCACTGTTGTCTTCACTAGCACTTGTAGAAAGAATGTTTAGCCTTTCAACTTTGTCAAATAAGTATTATAGAACACAAACTGTGAAAAACATACACTTTAAAAAAATGTTTTGATTAAAAACATATTCAATATCATTTTTGAGAAAAACAGCTTCAAACGTTGCCCAGAATATCTATTAATATTTCGATATCATAAATGATATTCCATTTTGTAACACAGAATTTGATTGCATTTCTTACCATCAAATGTATAAATATATAATTTATATGCAAATGTCTTATGATTGTACTTTGAGTAAAAACCTTTTTTTTTCAAACATAAAAAAATTGTAATAAAATATAAAATATTATTATTTATATTATATGATACTTAATAACGTTTCTCGTTATATTTTATGATTTTCAAATCCTAGTTTAATTCTTATTCTTGCTATAAATGGAATTTTAATTATGTATTACTCTAGAAAATCACCAATACATGTAATTAATAATTAATTACCTTTTTTTAAAAAGTAATTGTAATTAGGAATTAATTGCAACTTTTGAGTAATTATGCCTATTCCTCCTTATATAAATTTTAAATTCTTTAATAAAAAAATGTCCAGCGTGCAAATTAAATATCCACAAACGTTGCGAGAGAAACGTTGCACCGAATTGCGGAATAAATGCAAAAGAAATGGCCGCTGTCCTTGCCCAGATCGGAATTTCTGGCGATAAACTATCCGTCAGAAAGAAAAAGGTTACATTTTATTATTAATGGCCGAAAGGATAAAAGAGAATGAAAGAAAAATTTGAATCGTTTTTATTCTTATTATTTTTTATTATTGTAACAAACTAAAATGCGAAATAAAGCCATCCTTCAGTGATTCCCATCTAGGAAGTCAAGTAATTCATTCAAGATCTCATTCTTCCCCATTGCCAGCCATCAATTCTATAGCGCGTAAAATGAAATATTTTATTACAAATTTTTAATATATGTATATTTTTTTTACCCTATCATTTAGTTATAATATTTTATCTTAACGAATATAATTGGATATTTTACTATTATTATTTTTTTATTTATTTAATATCTTATTAACTTATTAACCTTTCAAATGTATTATCGGAAACATAAAAAATTAAGAAGAAAGTGATGAGGCCAACTACGAAGCCACAGAATTGATTAAAAACGTTAAAAATGCAATTCATCCCATCAAAAAGCCTTCCATATCCGATTTCCAGTTTATAAAAGTTCTAGGGAAAGGAAGCTTCGGGAAGGTTAGACTTTCTTTAAAAAATATCTTATATTTATTATATACATTTTTTGGAAAAAAAGTAAATAATCAGGTGGGGTTTATAGGACATGAGGCCTTGTTAAAATTCATATTATTCTGAAATGTTCTTTAGTTTCGTATCTAAAATTACATTTATATTTAATTTGGTTTAATTTTTTTAAGGAAGCATTTACACTATTTTTTTTACCAGAAGTACTGCAGTCACTGAAAAATATATTAATCAGATTTGTTTAGTGCTTACTTAAGTTTTTAGGATATGTATATTAGTTTGGAAATACAGAGTTTAGCAAAAAAACTTCAATTAGCATATGAAGATGGTTTCCTCAAGAATTACGAGGCAAAATCTTTGAAGTTTTTCAAAAAAAAGAAGATTAAATTTGGAATTATGAGCAAAATTTTATCAAAATGTTGCTTGAACATGGATAATCAAAAAAAATCTTCATTTTTTCTTCTTCTTCAGAGATCAAAATGTTTCGGAATTTCTGATTTTACTATTATTAATTATATTTTCATAGATAATAAATGTGTTCCCTATCATTCAATGAAAAAAAAATATTAGACTGGCCTAGGATTTCGTGAAAACGATTTTACTAAGTTAAAAAAAAAAAACTAGCCAAATTTTTTTAAAAAATAATAGTAAATATTTTGTTTTGTTTTGAGATATTATTTGCTAATTCTAAATTATATAGGCCTAAAGTTTTTTTTCACTAGCGGGTTCGGTGCCAATTATTTTTTGCAGGACTCTAATTTGCCCATCTGTTTCACTCTTCTACTCTTCTAATGGACAGCTCTCTAGGACTACGTCTAGTTCATTTACTTTTTAAATTATGCTTAGGGGTAATAGCTCAACTCAAAGAATCTTCAACTGAAGGATTTTTTTTAAAAAAACTAGATGAGACATATTTAAAGTTGAACAAGTATCTGAAGTAAGGAGAAAGATTGTAAGATTAAGGGTTAGAAAAATATAGGTTAGGATTTATGAAATGTTTGAGAGATATTAATTAATTAAAAATGGTTTTTAATAAATTTTGATAGTAAACTCTTAAGTCTGACAGGTTCATTTGATTGTAAATAGACGAATAGAAATCTAAATAAATTCTGTTTGTAACGGCAATTTCCCTGATTTGGCCAAAATCATGCTTAGGACACTTGGATCTCAATCAATACATGATTGCTTACGAAAAATGAATCAGTCATGGATGTAGGAAAAAATACAATAAATTATTTGATTTTGTTTGGTATTCTAAGAAAACTGGATAAATAAATACACAGAAATATTCGATAAAAATTTTAACTTATTTTTTTTTTTTGGAAAATGTTTAATTTTTGAAAAATCACAATATTTATTTTTTGTTTCTCCACATCATAGCAAATATACTCTGTCCTTCGTGTCAGATGAATGCCTTCTAATAATTAAAATTACTATATTTTTAATATCAAATTAATAAAAATAGAAATTTCGGTTGAATCTCTTGAAATTTCAAAGAAAATTTATGGTTTCCCAGTATACTCGAGCAAATGTCCTCTTTCCTCCATATCAGAAAAATTATTTCCATGAATTATAATTATTTTATTTTAAAATATTTCTTATTCAAAAAAAAAGGATTAATAAAATTTATCAAAACCTTTTTTTTTATCAGGTGATGCTGGCAGAAAGGAAAGGGTTTGACGAGGTTTACGCCGTTAAAATCCTCAAAAAAGATATCATAATTCAGGATGACGACGTCGAATGTACTATGACTGAGAAACGTATACTGATATTAGGTGCTAGGCACCCTTTTTTAGTCGCGCTTTTCTGTTCTTTCCAGACCAAGGTTTACTACTAATATAACTATTGTATCCTTATATGATATAATAAACTAACCTATTAGAAGGAGGGGGGAGGGGGTGTCAATTCATTGAGAGGTACTATATGGGCTGGGGCCTAGTTGACCCAAATCGAAGAGTTTTTACATTCCGCGAACATGCTTCTTTTATAATTATGTTTATAATAAATGAATAAATTAAATAGGACCGCCTATTTTTCGTTATGGAATACGTGAACGGAGGCGACCTAATGTTTCAAATACAAAAGGCTAGAAAATTCGAAGAATCTAGGGCAAAGTTCTATTCCGCCGAAGTCATGCTAGCCTTACAATTTCTTCACAAGCACGGTGTTGTATATAGGTATTTATATATGTATAAAATACAAAATAACGTGATAGCATAGGCGAGGCCAGGAGGAGGGTAATAGTAAATCCCCTCACCCAATTCTCACCCCTCAAATATATCACTATTAACAAAAATTTGAAATAAAAGTAAGTAAAAGTTAATAATTTTTTAAAGAAACGCACACATGATTCAAAATTTTTAGAAAAAATAGCATTTATATAAAGAAAAACGTTAAATACCAAAATTATTTTTATAAAATAAGTAAACCTGAGAACCTCCATTAAAATTTTTGCAAAATATAAAAATCCCATCTAATAGTGCTTCTACCCCCCCCCTTAGCAAAATCCTGGCTACGCCTATACGTGATGGGCTTTGTAATTTATTAAGATATATGCGAAATGTATCTCATGTTAATTTATGAGTAAAGTTCTTTGTAGTGTTGTTAAACGGCTCGTTTTGAGCCGATTTTTAAAAACGGCTAACTCAATATTTAATCCAAAAAAATATTTCGCAAGCCTGAAAAGTTTGTTCATAGAAGGAACAAAGATCAAGACATATATTATCGAAATCTCTATTAAGCAATATTTTTCTGGCTAAAAAATTGAGTTAGCCGTTTTTAAAAATCGGCTCAAAACGAGCCGTTTAACAACACTAGTTCTTTGTGAGTATACGCTTAAATTTTATTTTTAAAAAATGACTTTTTTATAAAATAAATGTTATTTGTCTTTTAGATTTTTAATTAAGGAGTTTTTCTTTTTAAATTTTTTTGGAAAAAGTTTATTTAATTGGTTTACAAAATATGATAAATAAAACATTCTAGTTTTGTTATATTAATATCTAAAAAAATATAACGTTTATATATATATATATATTATATATAGGGATCTGAAATTAGATAACATTCTGTTGGACAGTGATGGCCATTGTAAAATAGCCGATTTTGGGATGTGTAAAGAAAACATTTTCGAATCTGAGCTGACTTCCACTTTTTGTGGAACGCCAGATTACATCGCTCCAGAGGTTGTTAGATTTATAATCAAATTCACAGGTTTTTTTTACCCATTTTAAATGGGCATTTTTGGCAATATTTCATGGTTTTTGTCCTTTAACCAAAATTATTTTTTAAAAAAAATAAAATCTTTTAAAATCTTAAAAGTTAATATTTTTGATTTTTTTTTAAGAAATACGTATATTTTTTTCCATCTTTCACTTTAAAACACTATACACCATACACCTAAAGAAACTTTGCAAGATATGAGAACTCATGAATATTTAAACAATAGGAATGAAGAAAAGAGAAAGAAAGGAATCAAAAAAAAGCTAGAAATTTCCATGATATAAAAATATGTAATGTATACTATTAGATCCTTCAAGAACTCGACTACGGCGTGAGCGTGGACTGGTGGGCCCTTGGCGTGCTGATGTACGAAATGATGGCCGGTCAACCCCCTTTCGAGGCTGAGAACGAGGACGACCTTTTCGATTCCATCCTTCACGATGACGTGTTGTACCCCGTTTGGCTCTCTAAGGAGGCCGTCTCCATACTTAAAGGAGTAAGAATGTTAACAAGACTTCTCGATAAATCTTATATTATATTTTTTTTACACCAATAAAAATTGCATGTTTACAGACCCTGGTCGGGTGTGTTTCAAAAATATATTAAGGCTCGGGCCCCTGCATGATATAAATATCATTAACGAATTTCTATTATCGAATCCGATGGTTTTTGTCTGAAAACTTGAGTAATTTGCTAATAATTATAAGCGATTTCTGATGGCTTCGCCCAATCCTACCAATCGATTTTATAGATTATACGAAATTGTTAAAAAAATTTTGTATGAGTAACTCGTATGATTTATTATTGTTTAAATTTAAGTAGCTTTTTTTAAAAAAAATAATCCTATATAACTGTTTGAGGACAAATTATTTGTTTTAGGTTAAATTTTTCCTGAAATCATTTTTTTTTAAATTTGTTTTATGTGTTTATTTTCTTTGTATAGAAAATCGATAGTCATTTTTTAAAATAAAAAATGTTATTAAAAGATTATTAAAGTTTGGTGTAGTTTAGTTACTAGGCTATACCACATCTTGAATAGTTAGGCTTCATCACACTAAGTTTTTTCATATTTTTTTGAAAAGATCTTCTTTTCGAACTAACAAAATAAAGATAAGTAATAGTTTGCATATAGAATAAATTGAAAAGTTCAATTTTAATCATATTCTCCCATAAATTTTTACATGCATAAATGAGATAGTTATACTAAAAACGGTGGTTAAAATTACAAATTAATGTATATCTTTATAAATTATATAACTATAATTGAAATAAAATATGCTAACAAAATTCTAAAAGATAACATTTAAGTAATAAAATAATTCTTTATTAAAAAATTTGCCCCTCCCCCCTCACCTGATGCAGAGATTAGGAAAATCTAATTGAAACAACATATTAAAATTTGAATATAATTTATTACTTTTGAAAAAATTTAAATTCATTATTTAAAATGAAATGGTAAAAATAATATATATAAAAAATTATTTTTTACAGGTATTACAAAACCAATATATTACCAATGTAAACATTTATCCAACAAGCTGACATTAGAAAGATTATTTATATATATATATATTACAAATCCAAATTACTATATTTTTTTTCATTCTTCTCCTCCAGTTCATGTGCAAGAATCCTTCCAAAAGATTGGGCTGCGTTGTATCCCAAGGCGGCGAGCAGGCTATTAAACTACACCCATTTTTTAGTGATATCGACTGGATCGCCCTTGAGTGTAAGAAGATTAAGCCTCCATTCCGACCAAAAATCGTAAATTACTTTTACATAAATTTTAGATGCTTTAATACATATTACCCTTCATTCACAGTTAGCACGAATTCGTGGCGAAGTATACAAAATATGCTGTATTTTTGAGTATTCCGCGAATTCGCGCTAACTGTAAAGGCAGGGTTATATTAAATGTGTTCCACAGTTCAGAAGCGAAACCTGGACTGAAACCTACTATCCGAAATTTTTTTTAGAAACCGAAACTAGAAGCCATTTTAAAATTTCCGAACCGATTTCTAAATAAAATAATCGTATTGTTGAGATATGTAATTTATAGTTCATTTGGAATCTCTCAATTTTAAATCATTTACTGACAGCGGGTTTTAAATTTGAAAAATTCAGATTTTACCGGAAAATGTATTTTATTTCAGCCATGATGAACTACTATGGAATTAAAAATTTATATAAAAAAGCTCTCTTATATAAAATGAAATATAAATCAAGAAGTAGTTCAAAAGTTCACCGCGAAACTATCTGAAATACTTCGGTATAGGTTAATCTGAAGACACGTGCGGAAATGCATTTCCGATTGAATTAGATTTTTCCAATTTCCAAAAAATCGCCCTCAATAAATGAGATCAAAAACTGAGAGATTCCAAAAAAAAATTGTAAGAACCGGAAATAGATTTTTTTTTAAAAAACTAGTTCCATTTTTAATCCAGGTTTCCATTCACTTTCATAAGTTTCAAGATGATAGATTCCTCAGGATTATTCAAAATCTGATTAATAAATTATTTAAAAAGAATTATAAAATAAATGGGAATTTTTTTATAGTAACTAAAATACATATTTTCTCATTTAAAATATTTTAACTCTAAGATTTTCTTTTAGAATTACTTCTCTCTCGATATGTTAAACATGATTTTAAATTTACATTGATGATCCAGAATTTCTCTAAGAAATGTATTAGATGATTATTTTCTATGGGACGCTAAAGAACTCAACTTTTATCATTGTTATTTTGTTTATATTTAAACTTTTTAAATAACACTATCGACTTGATTTGATATTTCATATTATATATATATAGAAAACCAAAAAGGACGTCAATAATTTTGATCAAGATTTTACCAAAGAGGAGCCTACCCTGACCCCCATCGAAAATTCGGAAATATTGGCATCGATAAATCAAGACGATTTTAGAGATTTTTCTTTCTACAATCCAGATTTTTCTAAAGCCAAAATCCCGCTACAGAATCCTTCGATTAGCATTTCAAAGCCTGCTTCTACTACCACGACCTTAAACTCGAACACAAAATAAAATTAAAATTACGCAAATATTTTTTTTAAACTTTCCCCGGTGATAGGCAAAAAAATTTTTTATAACGAGAAGAAAGTAAAATTCAAATAGATAATATAAATATTTTTTTTAAAAAAAAACGTCACGTTTAAGGTTTCGTTTTTATTGAATAAACCTAAGATTTTTTTGCTTTTTCATTCCGAAAGATGAATAATCTTTAAACCAAATGTTTAGTTTAAAAAAAAATAAAATAAATAAAACCTTAAAGGCATTAACATAACAAAATTCGTTGATATTTTCGACTTTTTATTCCTCTAGGGTTTCCTGGATGAGTCCGATATCGTTTTTCTCCAAATTATAGTTTAAAAATATTCATATAAAAGAAATTCGGTTTGTTATTTTTTTTTTCCTATCGATGTCAAAATTAAAACAAGTGCCAAATTCCATAATCCCCCCCCCACTCCCTTCTCTTTACGGCTTTTAAGCATCATTATTGTTAATAAAGTTATACAAACCATAATAACACATTTTAACAATTGTTCCTCGTGTGAACACTTTTTACTGAAGCATAATATTTACACATGACTATATTTTTTTTGTTTTCGGCGCAATGCATCATCTTCTTTTTGGAAAATTCTGACCGATATAAGGAATAATTTATGTTCTTTATTTCAAAAAAAGGATTATTAGTCAAATATCAAAAATGAAAAAATTGTAGTCACAGTTTAAAAAAATTTAGAATAAATATATTTATATAATTATTTATTTTGAAATAATTATTGGTCTATTATTATATTGTGATAAGCCAAAATCAAAAGCTTGTCATAAGATTGTATTTTAGTTTTAATGATTAGAATTCTAGTCCTAGAAAGTCATTACTTTTAAGAAAGAGAAATTTGTTTTTTTATATTCATCTACCCTGGTTGAAAAAAATGGTTTCTCATGCTTGTTATTATTTACTTTACCCCCCCCCCCCACTTCCCATATTCTCAGCAAACCCAAAGATAATTTCTTTTAAAAAAACTGTTCGATATATTATATTTTTAAAAAAAGATTAATTAAATTTCAAAAATCTTTGTAAATAAATCATTTTTTTTATATGACCTGTAATTTCTTTTATATACATTTAATACGCCTACGTTCCCGCTTATAAATAATATTTTCGCGTTTCAATTTTTTAAAACAAATATAACAACTGTTTTTGAGATTTCGATCTTTCCCGCTTCGTTTTAAGTTATCTGCGATCCCACGAGAAGCGCTATAATTGTATAAAAAAAATGTATTTATAATAATTGTTATATAAACTACATAATAAAATTGAATTATAAAGGTAGGTAAATAGTGACTGGGCTATTTGGTTTAGTCGCGCTACTTTGTACTTACCAATTTAAAAAATACGTGCAATTCTATCATATTTGAAAATCATAAATTTACCATAAGAATCTTTATATTTATTTTTAAGAAAATAAATACCCTTCTTTTTTTGTATGAATTTATATTAATGCGAATCTGTTATTTATTTTTTATACACAGGTTAAAATCCGCCAAAAATGATGAAAAATTTGCTTTTTTCCTACGAAAATGTTTACATATTAACTATATATTATAATTAATTACATTTTTGCCTGACTTTAAATAACAAATTATTAAATGACAGAACCTCATTATTTTGTAAAAAAAATTTCTATGATGAAAAATCATTGTCGTTTATTTTATATTTTATTTTTTGCGAATATTTTAAGTTTAATTATTATTTTATTGCAATACTTAATTCATTTATTCCATCTGTATGTAATTAATTATTATATAAAATGTATATAATAATATAATCATTATTAAAAACAAATTTTCCGGAGTTGACAATTATGTCCTAATAGTCAATTACTAAATAAATATTTTCGAAAAAAAATAATTCATTTTAATAGGCTCTAATTGTTCTGTTTTTTTTATAGTTAGTAATGCTGAAACTGTAGTAATGTAAGTTAAGATTTTAGCCAAAATAATATTACTTAAGCCTCGAGTTCTGTTAAGATGTCCAAACCTTTCTATGACCTTTGAGCAAAATTTCCAGGCTTGCGTAATACTTTTGGCTAAATTAATTGTCTCAAATTTTCTTGAGGAGATAGAGAGTAATAAAACTATAAATGTAGAATATGGGTATTTTATATACTTTAGTACTTATTGATTTTTTTGTAGATTTATAGCATATGTGATAAATAATGACATTGGCTTATTTTATTTTTACATTTTTTTTGCAGGGATTTTATTATTTATCCTGGTTCTTATTTCTAGACAGTCGTCTGTTTATCCATCTATATAGCTATCTCTAAACAAGCTAAAAAGATGAAGGCTATTTAGATTTATATAAATTATCTTTGTAATATAAAAAAAAATACATAAATAACAAATAATATTTATCTAATGTACATACATAAAAAAACGAAAATAGGGTGTCCGAGTTTAAAATCTGCTCATCCTGGGCTAAACATAAATAAGTTTAAAAATAAGACGAACCAGCAATACACGTCCTCTTTGACTACTTTATTATTTTTTCACATATAATTATATATTTTTTTTAAAATTAATGCAAAGGTGAGTGTAAGTAGATTTGTTGAAATTCCCGACTCTGGTCGATTTTTAAAAACAAAGATTCGTGAGATTTGGCAAATAGAGGGCCAAACCTTTCTACTACCTATGAGCAAAATCTCCAGACACAATATTATTTTGGTTTTCTCTTTCATTTTTTCTTTTTTCTCTCTTTCTTCTGAACCGGGTTTTTTTTAACTCCCTAGAAAGGGATCGATTTCATATTTATAAATAAATATTTCCTAGAAAAAGTAAGAATTAATTAATCCTGTAAAAATAAACCATTACTAATTTTGGCTCAGAAAAATCTACCATTTTTTTAAACATATTTTCTATGATTATTAAGCTTTGCAAGTGCATTTTAGATTTATCAATATATTAATCCTATCTTTTTTAGTTTATGGACTGATTCTCAAAATTTATAAAGAAAGTATAACTAACACAAATAGGCACTATTTTGGATGCTCTAAATATTTATTTAAATTTTAAAAATCAAATTCATATATGACGTATAATTAAATGGTGCATGACCTTATAAATAAAAATTGATTCCGCGATAATATAATATTTATAAAATAAGTTATTTTTTTAAAAAAAACTACATAAAAGCGACTATAATTATTTCCTGACTTTAGCAAATGTATCTATCATAATAAAAATTAGAATGTTAGTTTTTTTTTAAATTATAAAAAAATTTCAATATAATAAAAATAAGGGCCGATGTTGTAAAGTGTGTGTTTATTTGCCGCAAACCACGCAAGCGATTTCTCTGCCATCTGGATAAGCATTGCAAGGTAAGGCACCACATTTGGCTTCAACGATGTACAAGGCACTTCCATCTCCTACGCTATCAACATCAATATGGTAATCTGGAGATTCGTCCACGCAAATGTATTGAGAGCGGCAGAATTTGTTGTTAAGAGCCATAAGATAACCGCCGTATTCCTTGATCATACCTGTGGTGATTAAAACATTGCGTTAATATAAAATTTAATTTTTGAAAGGATTTAATTTTTTTAAAATAACAGAAATTAATAAAACTGCTTCTAATGTATTATTCAAAATGGAGTTGATGTCAAAAAATGGGGATGGAATCATCACCATTTATCTATAATATAAATGATATCTTTCTCAAAAGAAATATCAAAATTTTATTCACTAAACCTCTTGGGCATTCAACAGCTCCAGGAATCATAACATGAGTACACATGTGACTGGTGTAACAGACCGCACAAACGGCTTGTTTTTGTTTGATATTCCCCACAACTCCAATGAATGGAGAGGCTTCTGGGTAAACCCTGTATTCGGCACCGTAAATTCTGGATCCGCCTTCATTGTCATCGCCAGATGCAAATCCTTCAACATAACTATAAGTATTTGTAAACATCACAAGAAAAAAATTATATGGAAGTAATGCATCATATTTTGACAAAGCTATTTTTTAAAAAAAAATTAGTTTACAAATGATCTATAAGAGATATTTAAAAAAATATATACAAAGTTATTTTTGGAAAATTGCTTTTTTCTGATCATGTCTAGAGTCTGGGTCCTATTTTATATGTTAATGAATCAACAAAAATATGATCTTTATTTTCCTATGTACTTTATGTTATAATAACTATCATATCGTTTATACTTTTCGAAATTGGGATTTTCTGGAAGGCAAAGGTAGTTGTGACCACCTCCTGGATAATTGTCAGCATAATGACCTCCAGCTATGTAACCGCTGTATACAACTTGAGCTCTAGTTTCAGATTCGGCGCAAGTCTTCTTACCATAATGTATATAGACGGATCCACCGCAAAGAGCTTAAGGGAGCATTTAATTTATGTTACATTATTTAAAGTTGAGGAATACCTTATTATAATGTTTAAAGTAAATCAATCATATTTTCTTTATCTATTAATCAAATTGCTCACTGATTTTCCTGTTATCGGCTTGGCACTCATTGAGGCATCTACCAGGTGTACCATTAGACCCGGGTTGACCATCTTGTCCAGGGGAGCCAGGTGTACCAGATTCTCCATCCTTACCTGGGATACCAGAATCTCCTTTAGAGCCAGCGCTACCTGATTGACCAGGGTTGCCGGCTTTACCTCTTGATCCTGGGGGACCAGACTGTCCTGGACTTCCGGACCTTCCATCGTTACCAGGGCGTCCCGCATTACCAGCTTGAGATCCGGTTGGACCAGGTTCGCCATTAGGACCTGGCGGACCATCATTGCCAGGGATACCTGGATGGCCGTCAGCTCCAGGTGCACCAGATTCACCTTTGGATCCCTTAGCCCCAGATTTTCCAGGACTTCCTGGCCTACCATCTTTGCCCGGCTTACCGTCCAAGCCTGGAAGACCATCTCGACCTTTGTTACCAGGGGCTCCGTCTCTACCGTCTCGGCCAGCATCGCCATCTAAACCCTGCAATTAAAAGTTGAGAAATTTAGGAATTTTCCAAACATTATGTATGGTTCAATTATTTGATCCAGATTATTTATAGAAAGAAAAGAAAAAAAACGCAATAAATTGTTCACAAATATTATTTGCCTTTAAAAAAATTAAAAGTGATTTGCGGATATTTTATATATTTAATATATGTATGCGTTACAGGTGATCCATTTTCTCCAGGTCTGCCATCAATTCCGGGCTTACCATCAGAACCAGGTATTCCATCTCTTCCAGATTTTCCTGATAATCCAGCTTTGCCGTCGGGTCCTTTATCACCGCCTGAACCCTAATAAAAAAGACTAAATTAATTTTAAGTTATAAAAAATAAAGATACGTATATAAAATGAATCATGTCTATTTATTTCATCAACTAATAATTAAATTAGAATAAATAACTCTTGTTATTTCAACTAATATTTAAATAATAAATATAAACATTTTTTTTTAAAAAAATTAAGCAAAAATAATATCGCTGCTCCTACCAAATTATATAATACTAATATTTGTAATAAATTAACATACACGTTCTTTCTTCCCTTCTTAAAAGAAAAAAACACACAATTTCTATATTACTTTTATAATATAATATTTCACTAACTCGTTTGCCGGGAACGCCAGGTTTTCCGTCTCGTCCAGGGTTACCAGCTGGTCCGTCTTTTCCGGGTTGGCCAGATATGCCATCTTTTCCGGGTGGTCCATCAATACCTGAAGATCCAGGGGCACCATCTTTGCCAGGATTTCCTGGCTGTCCGTCGCGACCAGCATTTCCGTCTCGGCCGGGCTTTCCATCCGGACCGGCTGAACCGGGCTGTCCATCTCGTCCTGGGTTGCCAGCGTCTCCAGACGGTCCTGGTCCCTTGTTATCTACTCCAGGATTTCCATCTCTGCCTCTTTTTCCAGGTAAACCGTCCTTGCCAGGCTGACCATCTCTACCAGGGATACCTGGTTGGCCGTCAACACCTTTTAAAATTATAGTAATGAAAATAATATTTTATTTGAGATGATGGTTTTAAATATTGTAGATTTTAAGAAACAAACACTTTAAAGAAACCAATTCGCTTTATATACGGTTATTTAAATAGGCTTCTATGGCCTTATGAATAAGGTAATAAATTGACATTAAAATTATACAAACCTTTAGGTCCACTTGGTCCCCTAGGTCCAGGAGATCCATCTTGCCCAGGTTTGCCCGATTCTCCATCACTTCCATCTTTTCCAGATTCTCCGGGTGCTCCTGGCTCACCATCTCTACCTGGTTCTCCGTCTCGGCCAGGTGATCCCTTTTCATAAATAAATATGTTTTAATAATTCATTAAAACTGTAAAATAAGAATAGTTAAATATTTGCAAATTCTAAAAAATTACATAGTTTAGTGAAACAAATTTAATTGATCTGAGAACATTTATTCTGTATAAAAATGATCATAAAATAATATTGTTACATTTTGTCCATCTCTTCCAGGCTGTCCATCTCTACCTGGTTGACCATCTGGACCTGGTCTGCCATTTTGACCCGCGTTTCCGGCTCTTCCATCATTACCGTTACGTCCTGGAGGACCAGCTGGCCCCTATAGATTATTGATAATGTTAATATATTTTTTCTTAAAAATAAATATTCTTCAATAATTTTTAAACGTTTAATCTTTCTTTTTAAAATATATCAATATGTTTCCCCCTTTGCCTAAAGATTATTCATAAAGAATTTTAATCTATGTAACTATGAATAAATTAGACAATAATATATTTTATATATTGCAGTTGCTTAATGTAACCAAAATAGAGTGCTTACAAAGATTTGAATTAACCAAAAATAAATCTCGCGTAAAATATTATTTAAAAAAAAGAATACCGTTTTTCCATCTGAGCCCGGTTTACCGGGTTGCCCATCATGACCAGGTCTACCCGACTGGCCGTCTTTTCCGGAAGTACCAGGCTGACCAGGATTTCCAGGAGGACCTTGAGGTCCAGGAGATCCAGGCTTACCATTGGGACATCCACAATCTAATTTTTTTATTTAATAAAATCACAAATCATCGATTATATTACAAAATAAATTGATTTTCAATTTAAAGTGTTTCCAACAACAATAAAAAATACTTACCAACTTCCACGACACCTCCGGTTTGTTGGAGATTCCTCAACAGTTCAATGTATCTTGAATCATCTCTCCCAGCTTCAACATCCTTAGTTCCTCTAGGTTCGCCATAGTCATCATATCCATGGCGGTCTAATCTTTTAGTTCTATCAGCTGTTTCTACCGGAACCGGCGCTGCAGCCTCAACTGCCTCTACCGCTTCATCAGTACTTCTCTTTGATCTAGCTTGGGATAAATGGGATGATATCCTATGACTAGTCGGTACAGTTTTTTGCTTTATTTCCTATAATATTTTGTTGTTTTTTATCGTGAATTTTTTTAAATTAAAAAAATAAGAACTGTAAAGCTTTATCAGAGACCTGCAGATGCTTTGCATGACCCAGCCCGGATTTTTTAAAATTATATTTCCAAAGAATTTTAAAAAAAATTTTTTGTAAGCCTACAAATGAAATGTTTGTTATTTATAGATTCGTATTTTACTCATATGATAAACATATTATTCGACTATAATTGAATATTAATAATTTGGTTTTTCGATTCAATGTTTATTCAATTAATTCATTTTAATTAATTTTTTAAGGCCTATTTTCTGAGTATTTTCTTTCCCCGATATATCACAATTTTATATACTTAATACGTATTTTTATTTTTAAAGAAATTGTAAATAACTAAATTCGTGATTTTATTTATACCGTTAAACGTTTCAATTCGGCTTCCATCTGTTCCACTATGACTTGCTTTTCGATCAGGGATTCTAGCATTCCTTCTACCACAACCTTTTGTTCAGTTTTCAAGGTGGACATTTGCGAATAGAAGAATGGTAAAATAACGCAGCATGTTAAAGTTACTATTAGAAAGCAACCAGCGGCGAATATTATGGTTAATTTCCTAGAGCTGTTAGACGTACCCATCACTTTGTATTATTTTTAATGTTTTTTAATGATCTAAATAAACAAAGTAATATAAAGATTAAATAATATATATTATTACACTGTGTAAGTAAAATATAATTTTTAATAAAATTTCCAATTACTTCGTATTTTTTTTAAAAAAGATTAATAATATTCTTCTTTTAATAAAAAATCAAATAATGAATATTACACTAAATATTTTCACCTTTATATACTTTTAAACTTAAGTCTATGCTCTGATAACCTAAATAAATGTTATTTTAAAGTATTTTATTTCTCTGTGACAAACTTCTTTTTTTTTTTAGATGACCGCATAAATTTTTTAAGAATAATAATAAATATATATATAATTATAATTTCTTTCTTTTAAACGTTGAAAAAAAAATTACGTTTAGAATACAAATTTCGTTTTTAAAAGTAAAAGATTCCTTTTAATAATGTCCGAATTTCAATTTTTAAAAAAAATATATATTATCTAACTTGAGTTTAGGATATTCTATCATATAAATAATTAGGTTACCTTGACCCAAATATTATGGGCAAAAAACGTTCTAAAATCATGCCAGAGTAATGAATAGAAATATAATCTCAAAGAATGAAGTTTCCCGGGGAACTGGGAGTGTCAAAAATATTATCAGCATGTTTATTCAATTTTAAGCTAGTTTCGTGCTGCTTTTATGGTTAGCGTGAAGTGGCATAATTTAACAGCTGACCGTGTTTGAATATTTATAATTGGATTAATTTTTTTATATAAATTCTTAAATTATAGAAGTAAATTTTTATTAATTGCTCACTTTAAGAGACGCCTCGAGGATACGAGATATCATGGTTAGGGTTCCTAATGTATATATTTAAAAAAAAATTAAATTCTTTGCTTTTTTCTAATTATATATTTATGGATTATTTAACAAAGTAAAGATTTTTTACATACATTTTTTTTAAAAAGAACAATAAAAATTTTTTAGTGTTATAAATTAGGGATCTTGGAACAAAATAACTTATGCGTTCCTGTTCTATCTTCGGGCAACAAATTATGTTCCGTTCTGTTCTACACCTTAGAACTTTCCGGAATGTGTTTCTAAAAAAATCAAAATTTTATTTCTATTCTTTTCACATACAATTTTTAGTATTATATTCTTATAAAAGAGATCAGTTATTATCCCTAAGTATTAATTAAAACATTAAAAGCAAATAAATAATTTAAAAGTCTTTAAATAAAAATGCGAAATCTCTTTTTCTTTAAATTTTAACTAAAATTAGAATTGATTCTTTAATTTTTTTATGTTAAATTAAATAAAAATAACTAATATCTAGAAAACAAAAGAAAAACTAAAGAAAAAATTATAGTCAAACCAAAATTATAATATTTTCTGATTTTTTTTGTTCCCACCTCTAGTTGCACTTAACCATATCATGTCCCTTTTCAAAGTCAATGCAAACCATATGCAGCTCCTTCATTTCCCCATATTTTTCCATTAGTGTTTCATAGGGCAAAGAATGTATCGATGGCCGAACAGCCTTGTATAATATTTAATTGATTACCGGATGCCTTCATTTAACCCCATAGTCTAAACAATTTTTCCAAAATCTTCAAGAATGGCTTATCAACTTCATTCCCTTATAATCCAAGAATTCTGGGGATTATTACCTTTACCTTTGTATATGGATATGATGATGCCCTCCCTCCAATTAGCTGAAATCTTGCCTTGCACCATGATTTTGTTAAATAATCTTGTCAATGCTTCTACTCCTTCTGCCCTTGCACACAACCATGATTCAACAGGCAGCCCGTCTGATCCCATAGTTTTGCCTCTTTCCATCATTTAAATTTCAGACTTTAATTCTTTAGCTATAAAGTAGTTGATAATTTTGACGAACCTTATGATTGGAACTATTGGAAACCTAGATTTTCAACTACTAGACGTTGAAAATATTATCACCACTTTTCAATCAGCTAGACGTTGAAAATATTATCACCACCTTTCAATCAGCCTGTGCTGCTGATGCACACTTATGCCATCTTCCTCTTTAACACTGTTCATCCCAATTTGCGTTAACCACTACTTTTCGCCAATTCGTACATTACTATATTTCCTCATTTTCTCGTAATATGTCATGTATTTTGCCATATGAACTACTTTCTTTGCTATGCTTTTACACTCCTGGTAAACTTTTCTCTCGTTCGAATCTTGAGAATGTACCATACCTTGTATAATCTTTTCTTCTACCTGACACAATTTTGGACCTCCTCATTCCACCACCAGATCTATATCCTGATCACCTTGCCTCATTTCGTTATCAAGAATATATTGATCAACACAAATTCTAATTTATTTTAAAGATCTGATGACTCAGTGGTTACAGAGCTCTCTAACATGCGGCACGGAGGTTCGAATCAATTTCTTTATCACTATATCAAGAGATGGAAACTATTAATTAACATGTATACATAGTATCCATTTAATATATTAGTCATGAAAGGAGGGTGAGACTTACCATCATTAGCTTAGATTCGCAGTTCAAGTTTATTATTATTCTATACCTGTCTTTTGAAAAGTCATATTGAAATAATTTTTAAAATGGTTTTCTCAAAAGGGAGATTTCAAAAATACGGAGAAAGGCGAATGAATGTTTTAAATTGTCGATCATTTTTGAGACTTGTTATATAATTTAAATATTTGGCATGGCCAATGTTTTATTATATTCTTTTCTAGGTTCCGGTCTTATGTATTTTAAATCAAACAATTATGCCATACCCAGGCCTGAGTTATGGTGGAGAAGCTATCAGCGGACAGCAACGTCAAAACCCAAATCCAGCAAGAGACTAGCACCTCAAGCCGACGGAATCAAGATTCAATTCCTTATTAGTATTGCTAAGAAGATAGTATACCGCCTCAAGTTATTGACCTCACCAGGGATTCCTTGAAATTCCAGTTTACAGAGGAAGAGCTCAAAAACCTCAATATCTTGGCGGAAATAGATATTACCAAGCTTTAGCTAAGCATTTCATGAACGTCATATGTCTGGCAGAGAGGTCCCCAGGTTTCCAGCTCAAATGAAGAGATGTCTATGAATTCCCCCTCAGAATCGCATGGAGGAATTGAAGCAGATATGTTATTCAGGTTCCTCAGTGAAATTGCTTACGAGGCACAGATATACGCAAAATAAGTGGCTTGGGGAGGTGGGGGTGTACAAGATTGTCGGTAGTCCCCCTCCGTTAATGGAAGAAAAACCTAGCCTAGATGCACGGACGGAAGGCTGGGTGCTCAACCAACCGTGCTAACCAACCCCCCTCCCCCCTTCCCGAAGAGAGCCAGCCCTCAACCTTAGCAGACCCCAACTAGGAGTTTTTAAACTCCTAAACCAAATCAAAATTTCCAAAGAGAGAAAGGAAACTTCCTAACAATCCGTCAGTTCGTGGATTCCCTGCCCCCATCCGCTCTACAATGGGACTAAGGGATGGCCTGCCTTATTGGGGGGAAACCTGCCTCGCAAAGCTTGTTCACGATGAAATCCGCCAGTGAATCCAAGATTATAGGCCTCAGTAGTTTTCCCTATCAGGGAGAAAAAGACAGGTACCCTGTGATAACGAGGAAGATGACGTAAGCCCAGAGTATGACACAGATGTGGAGCTGCCAACCACTGAACAATTTAAGTTGCAAGGAGGCCCCATCATTATTATTTGCTCCAACAGGATATCCCCTTAAAGTGCCGTCCTCTTGCCTCAATTAGCGCCGACGGTCGATAGTGCTTCTATTGGCAAAGCTCCTCCGGCTAATGGGTATCGATACAACTGATAGCCTAGAAGTGAGCCTTCAGGCCAGGCTCAACCTATCTGCGTTTATCCTCAAACCTCATTCCTTCCAATCCCCCTTCACTCGTAAAATCGCTCTTAGGGGCTTCTGCCCGAAGCTTGATAACCAATCCATCCAAGATCATGAAGGATATTTTTAAAATTGCTTTATTCCACTCGCCACCAAGTATATTCCAATCATTTTAATGGTGCAGGCCGCAGTGATCGAGATAACAGACTTAGCATTCTATTCCCCGCTATTTATTATCCCCAAACAAAACGACACTCCTAGGGTAATTTCTGACTTCTCAAATGTATTCCGGAACTTTATTAAGTGCCCTATTCGATTTATACCATGATCTCCCAGATGCTAGTATAGCTAACAAAGCAACCAAGATATATCTGAAGTCCGCCTTTTATTTATTCCCGCTAGCACAGAGCAGGGGGAGGTTCTTTGGATTTGTTACGACTAATGCTATGTAACGCTACACCCTCCCTATGAATGCGAATATCGTATAAGACTTTTGTGTTACCATGCCAATTACTTCGTATTTGGATAATATCATTATATTCCATTCAGACGATCTCGACATGGCCGCGACTTGGGGACTTGTAGTTAACGATAGGAAATCAGTCTTTATTTCGGATGGGAAGATTACTTTTTGGGAATCGAAACCAATTTCGTCGCTAAGATGAATTCCGTAGACCAAAAAAACAAAGCCAGGCTACGTTTTTGTCAATTAATTCTCTATAAACACTCCCTTTTACATGAACATCGAAAGAGATAGCCCTGAAGGTATTAAGAATTATCAACCATTTGCAGGTCTATTAAGGCTTTTGCCCTGAAGGTATTAAGAATTCTCAACTATTTGCAGGCCTATCAAGAGTTTTTTACTCATACTATACTACCATAATGAACGCGGATGACACCCCATCTCCCTATATATTACTTAAACGTATGGCAAAGCAGTGGTAGTATTGCGGCCCTGATGAACCCTATTCCCTTCGTCTTCCCTATAAACAGCATCATCCACGTAGACGCATCGTCCACACATATTGGTATCGCTGAATCCTTCAGGGACGGATATTCCTTCACCTTTGGTAAATTAAAGCATGCGCTCGGAATATCTGAAATGGCCACCCCTCACATCAGATAGAGCTTCTGGCTGCATTGGGTGCAAATATTCTCTTAATAAATACAAAAATGTGGCATCGTTGGTAGCAGTTATCCATGTCGCGTACACCATCGTTAAGAAAGGCGGATCTAGGTATTCCGTCTGTGAACATCTCATCACCAGACATGTTATAAATTCTTAACTTCGTGCACTAGAACATCACATGGACAGGGTTGCCATGTCACCCCCCATCA